TGTTTGGAGATGCCACTGTCAATAGATATGTATTCATTGCCATTTTGTTTGTTCATATATTTTATCTTTTTCTTCAAAAAGACCCTTCATCATTTCATATAATAACGGTTTGGTGGTGATGAACTCCTTTAACTTTTTCTTGTCTGGGAAACTCTTTATATGGCCATCAATTCTAAATGACAGTTTTGCAGGATAGAGTAATCTTGGTTGTAGGTTCTTGCTTTTCATCACTCTGAATATATCTTGCCACTCCCTTCTGGCCTGCAAAGTTTCTTTTGAGAAATCAGCTGACAACCTTATGGGAACTCCCTTGTAGGTAACTAACTGCTTTTCTCTTGCTGCTTTTAAGATTCTCTCGTTGCCCTGACCGGTTTGGCTCAGCGGTTAGAGTGTCGGCCTGCAGTCTGGAAAGACCCGGGTTCAGTTCCTGCTAAGGGCGTGTGCCTCGGTTGCAGTTTGTCCCCAGCCCTGGTTGAGTAATGCAAGTGGCAGCCACTTGATATATCCCTTTCACATCGATGTTTCTCTCTCTCTCTCCCTCCCACTCTATCTAAACAAAAAAAAAAAAAAAAAAAAAAAAATGTCCTCAGGTGAGGATTAAAAAAAAAAAAAGATTCTCTCGTTGTCTTGAACCTTTTGCATTTTGATGAAGATGTGTCTTGGTGTGGGCCTCTTGGGGTTCATCTTGTTTGGGACTCTCTGTGCTTCCTGGACTTGTATGTCTGTTTCCTTCACCAAGTTAGGAAAGTTTTCTGCCATTATTGTTTCACACAGGTTTTCAATTTCTAGTTCTCTCTTTTGTCCTTCTGGCACCCCCAAGATGCAAATTTTGGCATGCTTGTTGTCCCAGAGGCTTCTTACTCTATCCTCATTTTTTTGGATTCTTTATTTTTTTTGCTGTTCTGATTGGGTGTTTTTTGCTTCCTTATATTCCAAATCAACAGTTTGCTTCTTGGATTTACGTACTCTACTATTGAGTCTGTGTAAATTATTCATTTCAGTTATTGCCTCCTTCATTTCTGACTGTGCATCTTTCATTTCTGACTGGTCCATTTTTATGCTCTTGAGCCCTCACTAAGTTCATTGAGCATCCTTATAAGCAGTATTTTGAACTCAGCATCTGTTAGGTTGCTTATCTCCATTTCACTTAGTTCTTTTATTGGGGTTTTGTTCTGTTCTTTCATTTGGGACCTGTTTCTTTGTCTCCTCATTTTGGCTGCCTCTCTGTGTTTGTTTCTGTGTATTACTTAACGAGAGGTGTGGGGCTCTCTGAGACCAGATGCTGCTTGTTTGAAAGAATTTAGGAAAACCTGAAGCAGGATCCAAGACAGGCCAATCCTATGGTTAAGCAACTGGCAACAGCTTGGGTGGGCCTGAAAGTTGGGTGGGGCGGGGCCTCAGGGAATCACCAGGGCGGGGCTATGAGTGTGAGCCAGGTTGCTGGAGTCCCAGATATAGCGACTGTCTCCCGCCCCAGGGAAGGGCTCACCAAAGGCACAAAGGCCTCTGACAGCACATTTGTCCCGGAGAAAGCCCCTTCTCTAGCCGTTGCTCCAATGCCAAACAGCTCAGTTCTTCCCTGTATGTCTCTGATGCCCCTCAAGCTGCCTTCCCTCTGCGCTTAGAGGGAGTGAGTCCGATAAGTCCGCGCATGGGAGCTGCCTGGGGCTCCAGCCATGTCACCTTCCCTGAGCTTCAGTTTTCCAGCCAGAAGTTTTGGGGACTTCTCTTCCTGGCGCTGGAACCCTTAGTGGGGCCTCTGGTGTGGGACCGGGACCCCTCAGTCCTCAGGGAGGACCTTCCTAGCCGAGGTGTCTTCCTGGTTTTTATCTACCACACGTGGGTGTGGGACCAGCCCGTCCGCCTCTGCCCTTCCTACCAGTCTCGATGTGGCTGTTGCTTTAATTCCATAGTTGTAGGACTTCCGTTCAGCTTGATTTCAGGCGGTTTTGAATGATGGTTGTTATGTAGTTTAGTTGTAACTTTGATGCGGTTGTGGGAGGACGCGATACCGTGTTTACCTACGCCGCCATCTTCGTAATTGAGTCTTGATTGCTGTTGGCACGTCAGTGGGAGGGTTTACTCAGGTTGGTCTGCTGCAAGGACTGGCTGTGCCCACTAACCATCGACCTCTGACTACCTTGGAGAATCAGCTGTGCAGGGGTCAACTACACAGAGCAAGACTTACTTCAACAGTGCTCTGGTACCTCCTGAGTCCATTCCTTGAGTGTGTCACTTGAGGTGGATGGTTGGTGGTGCTTTGACGTGGTCTGAAGCTGTCCACTGGGTGTGCTGGCTCTGGAGCAAGGTCAGCCACCGCCTGGGTTCTGCCCAGGGCCACCAGGCAAATCGATCTGCAGATGGCTACTTCTTGTGTTGGGCTTGGAGGTGCCCAGGAAAAGCCAAGCTGTGAACTAAGGCTTACTGCTTGTAGTGCCGGGCCTGGGACTACTTAGCAAGAGGTACTGGGCTCACTGTGGCCAGATGCTGCTTGTTTGAGAGAATTTAGGAAAATCTGAAGCAGGAGCCAAAAATAGGCTAATCCTATGGTAAAGTCACTGGAAACAACTTGGGTGGGCTGGAAAGTTGGGTGGGGCAGGACCTCAGGGAATCACCAGGATGGGGCAAACAGTGTGAGCCAGGTTGCTGGAGTCCCAGATATGGCCGCCCTCTGTCTGCTCTGGGGGGGAAGGGCTCACCGAAGGAACCACAGCCTCCACCAGCATGTCTGTCCAGGAGAAAGCTGCCTCTCCTGTCCCCGTCCCGATGCCAAACAACTCATTTCTTCCCCATGTATCTCTGGTGCCCTTCAAGCTGCCTCTTCTCTGAGCTGGAGCTCAGAGGGATATGGACCAAGTAAGTCCATGCTCAGGCCCTTTAAGAGGGACTGCCTGGGGCTCCAGCAGCCTCAACTTCCCTCAGGCTCAGTTCCTGGTGGATTTTACAACCAGAAGTGATGGGGACTTCTCTTCCTAGCACTGGAATCCTGAGCTGGGCTCCTGGTGTGGGACGGGGACCCCTCACTCCTCAGGGAGGAGCTTTACAGTCGAGGTGTCCCTCCTGATTTTTATTTGCCACACATGGGTATGGGACCAGCCCATCAGCATCTCCACCCCTCCTACCAGTCTCAATGTGGCTGCTGCTTTAATTTTGTAGTTGTAGTACTTCCATTCAGCTCGATTTCAGGCAGTTCTGAATGATCATTTTCTCTCTTTTTTTAAATATGTTTTTTATTTTATTGTTTTAAGAGAAAGAGGAAGGGGGGGAGAGGCAGAAACATTGAAATGAGAGAGAAACATAGATTGGCTGCCTCCTGCATGCCCCTCAGTGGGGATCAGTGCCCTCAACGCAGGCATATGCCCTGACAAGGGATTGTACTGGGACTTTTCAGTCCATAGGAGCCACACTGACTGGGATGAACTCAATTTCTTCTTCTTTTTTTTTAATCCTCACACGAGGATATTTTTCCACTGATTTTCAGATAGAGTGGGAGAAGGAGGGAGAGAGAAACATTGATGTGAGGGAGAGACATCGACTGGTTGCTCCCTCACGACCCCCACCAGGGCCAGGATCAAATCACAACCGAAGTACGTGCCCTTGACTGGAATCGAACCCGAGACTCTTTGGTCCATAGGCCGATGTTCTAACCACTGAACAAACCGGCCAGTGCTGAACTCAATTTCTTATTTTTTATTTTTTTTATTTTTTTATATTTTGTTCAGATAGAGTGGGGGGGGGGAGAGAGAGAAACATCGACATGAAAGGGACGCATCGAGTGGTTGCCACCCCCACAACCCAACCAGGGCCGGGGACAAACTGCATCCGAGGTACATGCCCTTAGTGGGAACCAAACCCGGGTCTCTCCGGGCCGCAGGCCGATGCTCCAACCACTGAGCCAAACCGGCCAGGGCAGAACTCAATTTCTTTAATAGATATTGGAATAATCAGGTTATCTCTTTCTTCTTGATTGTGTTTTAGTACATTAAGTCTTTCAAAGAATATCCTTTCATTGAAGTTGTCATATTTTTGTACATAAAGTTTTTCTTAATGTTTACTTTTGATCTTTTAAACATCTGTAAAGGGTTCTGATACCAATTCTAACATGTGGGGTTTTTTCCACATACCACCAAGAAACTGGGTGCCCTGCAGTTTAACTCAATTCTGACACTGTCTACCTAGAGATAATACCAGATTCCACAGGTTTAGGGTTTAGTCCTATAACACTCCTCCCACTGCACCCCACTTCATTTCAGACACCAATCTCAAGTCCAGGTTGTCACCTGAGCTTTTGACCTAACAACTTTAGATTGGAGGTTTTAACAACCCCCAACTTGGGTTCATCTAATTTGCAGAGAAGTTCATAGAAATCAGAGAAAAATTTTACTTGCTAGAATATCAGTATATTATCTGATATATATACTGATGTAACACAAGAACAACCAGATGGAAGAGATGCATAAGGAAAGGTATGGAAAAAGGCATAGAGGATATCCAGTTGTTCTAGGACCATTTGTTGAAAAGACTATCTGCTCCATTGTCTTTTTTCCTTTGTTAAAGATCAGTTCACTATATGTATGTGGTTCTATTTCTGGGTTCTCTGTTCTGTTGGCCTATTTGTCTCTTCTTTTGCCAGTGCCACACTGTCTTGATTACTATAGCTTTATAATAACTCTTGAAGTCAGGTAGTGGTAGTGTCAGTCCTCCAACTTCGTTCTTCTTCTTCAAAATTTTGTTGGCTAATCTGGGTCTTTTGCCTCTCTATGTAAATTTTAGAATCATTTGATTTATATCCACCATATAACTTCCTGGGATTTCTATTGGGATTACATTGAATCTAAGTTGAGTCTACCCATGAATATGAACTATCTCTCCATTTATTTGTTCTTTTTTTTTTTTCTGGGTATTACACTTGAAATTTAGTTTATTAATTTTAAGTTAGGACCTCAATTTGCTAATCTATACATATTTAAAAAAATTTTTAAATATATTTCCTTTTTTAGGTAATAAATAAGGTCCATCTGAAGGCAAATCATGTTGTAAAGAGAGATGTTGATGAACATTTAAGAATCAAGACTGTCTATGATAAAAGTATTGAAGAGTAAGTACATCATTATTTTGTGATCTTTTTTATTAAGAACAAAGCAATTTAAGATATTTTTATCTGTTATCTGAAGTTTCATAGATTGAACTCAGTGCCAAGACACATTCAAGATGGAATTCAGCTAAAAATGCTTTTTAATTTGGAAAGATTATGACCATGGGATATGATAAAAATCTATACATCATGCATAATTTGAACAGAACAATGTGGATCTATGTGGATGTGGTTAATAACAGACTCAGAAGGCACCTCCTCAATAAATACTTGGAAGAAAAATAAGAGGAAGTGCTTATATATGCAATAATAAGAACATTTACAAAATTATTAACCAGAGAGATGATTTAGGTTAAATTTTTCCTATTTAATATAAGAGTGGTCCAGAAAACAGGTAAATTATGAATCTATAGCAGTTTTTTAAAAAAGATTTTTAATTGATTTTTAAAGAGGAAGGGAGAGGGAGACAGAGAGAAACATCAGTGTGAGAGTACAACACGATCAACTTACCTCCTGCATGACCTCTACAACCAAGGCATGTGCCCTGATTAGGAATTGAACTGGCAGCCTTTCAGTGCACGGCCGATGTCCAACCAACTGAGCCATACCAGTCAGGGCAATCTATAGTAGTTTATGAAGATCTATTAAGAGTAGTTGATGTCCTTTCCTATCCTTAACTTCCCAAATGAATTAGATAGCATATGATCATGCCTAGCATTGTGTTTTGGCACAGAGTAAACTCTCAAATACTCATTGAGATAAATCGAATGTTGGTGGATTGATGCTGCATGCTTCCACAAAGCATTCTTTGGGGCTCCTGCCAGATGTGTTCTGAACAAGTGAGACAGTGCTCTGCCCCAGCATGGCAATTCTTATGTTTCATGTCGTCACTTCTTTCAGGTTGCTTCCTGAAAAAAGAAACCTTGTTAAGGTAGGTTAATAAATACTCATGGCTTGAACTGGATACTTAAATTGAGTATGTTTTATTGTATGTAAATTATACTTAAAAGAAAAATATATACAAAAATGTTTTGTGAATGACTGAATAAAAGATGTCAGTAGTGAATTGATAAATGTATTTATCATTTTCACCAAAGTGTCTTTGTAATGCACTCACCAAGACTTTGTATTTGATATTAATTTAGTGTTCTCATTTTCCTTCTTATTCTCTTAAGTTTGAGGGGAGCAGAACATACTAAGGGTAGTGAAAAAAGCTGATTTTTGAAATGCATTGAGAACACCATCATGGTGGAAATACTTATTCTCCTGAAGATTAATTAACCTGAAAGCATGATATGCCAAAGTTGTTTATAGGAGTGCTAACCTCATTGGTTTTTAAACTGTTATAGAGAGTAACACACACACACCCACCCACCCATACACACATTAAGCCAATTCATTAACAAAAATAAGTGAGGTTAAAGTAAATCTTCTAAACATAAGATTTTTGTAAATAAACTATCTTAATCTTGGAACCAACTAAGTCCCAAATTAGAAGTAATTTAGATTACTAGTTGAGATTCATGTTTTGTTTTCTTTCTTTTTTTATTATTAATTTATTTTTGTTATAGATGTTTCTCCTTTTCCCCCATTGAGATTCATATTTTCTAATATTGTATTTAAATAGAGGTAGGGAGTGAAGTTTCCATTTAGTGTTCTTTCCCCAAACTCAACTTGAAAACAAGGAAATTCTTTTGCCCTTAGACTAACTTACTCTCTCCCCTACTCCTTGCCATACAACCTTTGACTAATTAGTATCTGTATTCCAGAATTGTAAGGCTTTTCCTTTTTTTTTTTACCCTCAGTCATTGAAATCCTATGCTTGCTTGTTTTAAATGTAATTTATACTTTGACTATAATTCTGACTGGTTTTCTTTGTTTAACTTTTATTTAGAACAAACTTTTTCCACAAGCTATTTCTTATTTAGAGAAGACTTTTCAGGTTCGTAGACCTGCAGGCACTATTTTACTTAGCAGGTTTGTATGTCACATTAAACACAGATAATTTTCTTGTCATTCAGTACTGTGCCCTCTCCAATCTACCAGTATGGCAAATTGTGAATTTTTACTAGAATATTTTATGATGCTTTTTTTTAGAGACCAAAATGCAAGGTGTTTGAAAAGAATGTAAAAATGTTTGTTGGGTTATCACTCTTTCCCTGATTTTCTACTATATGGTGACCTACTAGATATTTCCCTAGGGTGTAGTTGTCCCCTGCTTGCTACATTCCCTTCCTCTGTTCTTCATAGCAGTGGTTCTCAACCTGTGGGTCCTGACCCCTTTGGGGGTCGAATGACCATTTCACAGGGGTCACCTAAGACATAACAGTAGCAAAATTACAGTTATGAAGTAGCAATGAAAATAATTTTATGGTTGGGGGTCACCACAACATGAGGAACTGTATTAAAGGGTCGCAGCATTAGGAAGGTTGAGAACCAATGGTCTTTAGTATAGGCTTTATGAAATATTTGGGTATTTGAAAATTCAGATCAGGAAGATTTTCCATGGAACCAAATTCTTTCTTAGTCCACTTTTCTAATTAAAATAGTAACTATTAATGAGCTAATACAGCAGTTACAAGTTTTTTACAATGCCTTTTGATTACTGTGAACTATTCTTTTTTTTTTTTTTTGTAATTAAACTTTGATTATATATGAACTGAAGACAATGTGCAACAAACCAATACCTACGGAAGGAAAATGATCCCCATAGATACTGTACTGGGGAATGTGCAGAGCATACAAAATGTGGCCCAGTTATAGTGCCTGAAGAGCATCTCCAGGTAATTCAGCCTACTCTCAGAAATGTTTTGTTGTTTGTTTGCCATAAATGTTGTTTAGGTGCTGCTGTTTTTTGTTGTTGTTGTTCTGTTTGTGTGTGTGTGTGTGTGTGTGTGTATTTAGCAGTGTTTTTATTCTTTAGAATAACCTTAGGGAAAATTTTGAATCTATGACACTAAGAAGTTTTTACAGACTTTAAATTCAGAAGCTTTGAAAGATAGCAGGGGGCAGGACTGGAGCGAGAGTGAGTGTGTGAGTGTGAGCGAGTGTGAGAGAAAGTATGGATGGACGTGAGTATGGACGAGCAGCCTCAAACAGTGTAGAAATATGAGGCAGAAGGTTCCTGTGCTGTGGACAGGGAGCAGCCAGCTACCTTGGTAAGCAGCTTGTCAGGGCGCTTCTTCCTGCACGGCCAGAAGGCCAGAAGGAAGATTCCTGGTCTTTTCTGGGAGGAGGCAGCGGGAGCGGCTACGGCTGAGTAACCTGAATCCACCATTGCGCCTTGCACCATCGGACCAGTGGACCCCACTGTGTCAACGCAGACCAATGCACAGTAGCGGCACTGTCAATGGGCCTGCTGCAGAAGCTGCAACTGTCTGGGAGCTGAGCACCATCCCCCACAACAGCAGCCTGATTGGAGCTGAGCACAATCCCCCACAGTAGCAGCCTGATCAGAGCTGAGCACCACCCCTAGCAGTAGTAGTGCCAGCTTGGAAGTCCAGCACCTTCCCTCACAGCAGCAGTGATGGGTGGGAGTGGAGCCCCACCCCCAACAGCAAACCACCCCCAGCATCAGAGGCTTGGGAGCAGACATCCATCTCCAGGCAGCAGCAGCACAGATCGGCAGCTGAGACCCAACTCCAGCAGCATCAGCAGAGGCTGATCAGGAGTGATTCCCCAGCCCAAGCAGCAGCAGGACTTGGGTAGCTGAGACCTGCCCCTGAAAACTGCAGCAGAGGATTTGGAGTGCAGCCCCTCCCCCAGCATCAGCAAAGTACTGGGAGCTAAGCATCCTCAGCCCCCAACAGCAGCAGAGGATTGGGAGCTGAGAGCACCGCCTGGCAACAGCAGCATCAGTAGCAGTACAAACGGAGCTAACACTCACCCCCAGCAGCATCAGCAATGACCGATCAGGAGCTGAGCCACACCAGGCAGGAGCACACTCCAACAGCACAGCAGCGGGACCCACACACCCCAACTGTACACTACTAGCAGGACCCATGTGCCCCAGCAGTGCACACACACACCCCAGCAACACACTGGCTGGACCCATGCCCCTCAGCAGTGCCTACCACAACAGACCAATACCAGTCGCCAGTTGTCAGTCCTCCAGGACCCACAACAGGCAAGAGGCTCCACACACCAAAACAGTCTGAGAGCACAGCAGCCTTATTTAATACACACTGTCCTGCCTACACATCCCAACATCCCTCAACGGGCCTAGAACTACCAGACTGCTAAAATGGGGAGACAAAGAAACCACCCAAATGAAAGAAAAGGAGGAATCACCAGAAAAAGAACTACATGAAATGGAAGAAAGCAATTTGTTAGATAAAGAATTCAAAGCAGTGATTTTAAGGGTACTCAAACAATTTAGTGAGAACTACAAGCAACTTCATGAGAATTATAAAGAGCTCAGTGGGAACTATATCAGCTTAAAAAAAGAGGTAGAAGCTATGAATAAAAATCAAGAAGAAATAAAGAATGACATAGCTGATATGAAAAATACCTTAGAAGGATTCAATAGTAGATTAGAATAACCTGAAGACCGAATCAGCAAGTTAGAAGACAAGGTAGAAAAAACACCCAAATAGAGAAGCAAATGGGAAAAAAAATTAAAAAGTAGGACATCTGGCTGGTTTGGCTCAGTTGTTAGAGTATCGGCCTGTGGACCAATGAGTCATGGGTTCAATTCCAGTTAAGGGCATGTACCTTGGTTGTGATTTGTCCACAGCCCTGGTCTGGTTGGGGTTGTGCGGGAAGCGGCCACTTGATGTGCCCTTTCACATCAATGCCCCCCCCCCCCTTCTCTCTCTCCCTCCCACTCTATCTGAAGTGGAAAATGTCCTTGGGTGAGGATTAAAAAAAAAAAAAGGCAGAAGGAGAGTTTAAGGGAACTTTGGGACAATACAAAACGTAACAACATTCTCATCATAGCAGTACCAGAAGGCAAAGAATCAAAGAAAGGAATAGCGAACCTGTTTGAATAAATAATGACAGAAAACTTTCCTAATTTGGTGAAAGAAAAAGTCACACAAGTCCAGGAAACACAGAGAGTCCCAAGCAAGATGAACCCAAAAAGACCCACAGCTAAACCCATCATAATTAAAATGGCAAACATTAAAGTAAGCAAGAGAGAGACAGAAAGTTACCTACAAGGGATCTCCCATTAGACTCTCACCTGATTTCTCAATAGAAACACTGCAGGCCAGAAGGGAGTGGTATGAAGTATACAAAGTAATGAAAGGCAAGGGTTTGAATCCAAGACTACTCTATCCAGCAAGGCTATCATTCAAAATTAAAGGTGAAATAAAGAGCTTTGCAGAAAAAAAAAAAAAAAGCTAAAGGAATTTACCACCACACAACCAGCACTGCAAGAAATGCTAAAGAGACTGCTGTAAGAAGAAGAAGAAATGAGAGAGAGAGAGGAACATAGGCATAAAATAGAAATGCCAACTAATAAGTATCTATCAATAATAACCTTAAATGTAAATGGCTTAAATGCTCCAATCAATAGGGTAGCTGATTGGATAAGAACATATGACCCATATGCATGCTGTCTATAAGAGACTCACCTCACAACAAAAGACTCGCACAGGATAAAAGTGAAAGGATGGAAAAACATTTTCCAGGAAAATGGAAATAAAAATAAAGCTGGTGTAACAATACTCATATCTGATAAGATAGACTTCAAAATGAGGGCCATAGAGAAGGTCACTACATAATATTAAAGGGATCAATCCAACAAGAGGATATAACCCAGGTAAACATATATGCACCAAATATGGAGCACCAAAATATATTTTAAAACTTCTGGAGGACTCCAAGGGAGAGATCAATAGCAGTACAATCATAGTGGGTGACTTTACCACCCCACTGACACCACCGGATACATCTTCTACACAAAAAATTAACAAAGACACAGAGTCCTTAAATGACAAACTAGATCAGTTGAACTTAATTGATATTTACAGAATATTTCACCCCAAAGGTGCAGAATATATATTCTCAAGTGCACAGGGGACATTCTTGAAGATAGACCACATGTTAGTGGTTAGAGTATCCGCCTGCGGACCAGTGAGTCTCGGGTTTGATTCTGGCCAAGGGCACGTATCTTGCTTACGGTTTGTTCCCAGTCCTGGTTGGGGTCATGTAGGAGGCAGCCAGTCAATGTGTCTCTTTCACATTGATGTTTCTCTCTCTCTTCCTTTCCCACTCACCCTCCCTCCCACTCTAACTGAAGATAAAGGGAAAAAATATCCTTGGGTGAGGATTAAGATAGATAGATAGATAGATAGATAGATAGATAGATAGATAGATAGATAGATAGATAGATAAACAAACTTCCTGGAAACCAATGAAAATGAACATACAACAACATAAAATCTATGGGACGCAGCAAAAGCAGTCCTGAGAGGGAAGTTCATGACACTACAGGCCTACCTCAAGAAACAAGAAAAATTTCTAATTGACTTTCTAATCCTACAACTTATAGAACTAGAAAGTAGCCCTGGCCAATTTGGCTCAGCGGTTAGAGCGTTGGCCTGTGGTCCAGAGAGACCCGGGTTCAGTTCCCGCTAAAGGCACGTACCTTGGTTGCAGTTTGTCCCTGGTCCTGGTTGGGTCGTGCAGGTGGCAACCACTCGATGTGTCCCTTTCACGTCAATGTTTCTCTCTCTCTCTCTCTCCCACTCTATCTGAACAAAATATCGAAAAATGTCCTCAGGTGAGGTTAAAAAAAAAAAGAACTAGAAAGTAAATAAAGAGGAAAACCCAAAGCAAGTAGAAGGAGAGAAATAGTAAAGGTCAGAGCAGAAATAAACGACATGGAAACTAAAAAAACAATTCAAAAGATCAATGAAACAAAGAGCTGGTTCTTTGAAAAGGTAAACAAGCCTTGGCCAGTTTGGCTCAGCGGTTGGAGCATTGGCCTGCGGACCAGAGAGTCCTGGGTTTGGTTCCCGCTAGGGGCACATACAAAAAAAAAAAAAAGAACAGATAAACAAGATTGATGGACCCTTAGCCAGACTCACCAAACAAAATCAGAAACGAAAGAGGAGGAGTAACAACTGACACCACAGCCCTGACCAGTTTGACTCAGTGGTTGGAGTGTGACCCACAGACCAGAGAGTCCCGGGTTCAGTTCCTGCTAGGGGCATGTACCTTGGTAGCAGTTTGTCCCTGCCCTCAGTTGGAGTTGTGTGGGTGGCAACCAGCCGATGTGTCTCTCTCACATCGATGTTTCTCTCTCTCTCTTCCCCCCTCTCTCCCTCCTGCTCTATCTCAAGATAAATGCAAAAATATCCTCGGGTGAGGATAAAAAACAACAACAACTGACACCACAGAAATACAAAGAATCATTAAAACATACCATGAACAATTATACGCCAACAAATTGGACAATCTAGGTGAAATGGACACATTTCTAGAAACACACAGTCTGCCAAAAGTGAACCAGGAAGAGATAGAAAACTTGAACAGACCAATAACAACTAAGGAAATTGAAGATGTAGTCAAGAAATTCCCAGCAAACAAAAACCCAGGCCCAGATGGCTTCATGGGGTAGTTTTACCAAACATTTAAAGAAGATCTAAAACCCATTGTCCTAAAACTATTCCAAAAAATTCAAGAAGAAGGAGGACTTCCAAACTCATTTTATGAGGCCAGCATAATCCTAATTCCAAAACCAGGTAAAGACACTACAAAGAAAGAAAACTACAGGCCAATATCCCTGATGAACACAGATGCCAAAATCTTTAACAAAATATTAGCAAATCGGATC